TTATAACGTGATAGCGCTCGAAATTTTTTTTCCCTGCGTGATAGCAATACGCTTCCGTAAGAAGCTAATTTTATTCCGTCTGATTACGTTACGAGTAATCCTCATCACAGCTTCCAACGACAATGAGCTGAAGCAAGGGGCATGGATTTCATCATGTTTGTTTCAACGTGGATCTCGCTGCAGGCTTTTTTTAGGCAAAACACAACGCCTGTCATATCAGAGCCTTTCATCGCCTGTTGATAGCCACTTTTATTTACTCCTGCTCTCCCTCCAAACTCTAGCCGGAGACAGACAACGGAGCGAAACGGCGACAACGCAGGCCACGAAGACCAAAATTGTTTTTTTGGAAAAGCAAACTTAACCAGTCGTGGGGAAACACGCCAATCGACCTTCCTGTTTGCAAAGTCTCTGATCAGCTTCTTTCCAGCCGGCCAAGCCGGAGCGTTTTATCAGCGCTATCCTTGTCTCTCGCGGAGGGGAAACAAAGCGCCCTATTCCATTACACTGTAAATCCAATCTCATGCTTCACGCTTTGCAGAAGCGAAACAGAAAGGAGGGAATGAATGAGACGGCATGGAGAAATGTTGACACAAATCCTACAATCCCCGAGGCGACGTTCGGCGGTCATTAGGGTGCAGTTCGAGTATTCTGAACAATTAAGCAATCAATTTAGGAGTTTATGGCGTTCCATGTAGCTATTATGGTAATGCATGTATTGTTGAAGTGAGAAATGTGCGCTTGGCTCGACAAGGCAGGCATCAGAAATAGGTGGCTTTCGTTTGGTTGTTCCAGTCACATTTTTTAACTCTTAGCTTCGTGTTATTACTTAACTTCTTCTTATTTGTTTGCTCTTTGCCCATTCAATCTCCCCTTTTGGGATAAATAAAGCGATTCTATTCTATTCCGTTATTTCTCAGTAAATTATATAATTCAGATTTTACTGCTTAAAATGTGTAATAACATCTACAATAGGTTTTGGACATGTCAACTGTTTTATTCCTTTCGATGGAGTTATTCACATGAAATTCACTCTTTAAGTCAGTAGCAACTCCAGTAATCCGAACATGCAAGAAAAATCCAAATAAATTATGTTATGTATAATAAAAGTATTGAATATATTTCATTAAGAAATCAGCTGAAATCTGATTGTATTTATAAAGCAACCCTGAGCTCTGACAGTGCAAATTAATAGCAGCTGGTTTAATCACAGTTAATGGCCTGTAAAAAAAGGGTTCTTATTACCAGTTAGCTAATAGAAAACATCTCCTAATGGATAAAAACAAAGAGCTCTTTCAAGTCCTCCAAAAGCTTTGTGCAGAGAAAACATTAATATATCAGTGGCATTCCCAAACTGAAGCACCATGGGGACCATAATCCAGAGGTTGAAAGTACATAATCCCACAATAAAGCAGTCAGTCTGAAAATAAAAGAATATTTATCCAAGAACCAATGGCTACTCATTGAAAACTTTAGAAAGATCTTAAAATTGGAGTTACGGTTTTTCACTCAAAACGGTGAACAGTGCACTTAACTGCAATGGCCTCTTTTTACTCACTTAGTGTGAGAGACACCACTGCTGAGGAGAAAGCATGATGAAACTCATTTAATTTTTGCCACTGAACAATGAAATGAAGTCTAGTTAAACAGGACCAAAACTGAATTCTTTTTTTTTTTTCTATTGCTTTGCACACTGGGCTCAGAGGAGGAATGATGCTGCACATCTCCCCAAAACACTCAATAAAATAGGGTTAGATGACGAGCATGTTATGGTGTGGGGCTTCGGAAAAGGGTACGGGAATATTATATGTAACTTTGTCATGAATGGGGAAATGTACCAAAACATTCTTGAATGCGGAAATAAAACAATGAAGACAATGATCCACACACACACACACACGCATAAACACACACAGCCAAGGGAATATTTAAATTGTTTCAGATAGTGACCCTGGCAATCAAGCCACTTGAATTAAATTGAAAATCAATGACCATAGAGAAAACAGCTGTCAAAACCTTAAAGATGTGAAGGTAGTCTTTAACCCTTTTTTTTTTTTTTTTTTTTTTTTCAAACTTTTTTAAATAAATTTCAAAAAAATTTAATTTTTCCCTTGGCCCTTTTT